TAAATTATTATTATATTACAGTTAAAATACGTATGTATAATATATATTTCGGAACAAACCAATATTCTCTTCGGGTAACCGTGCCATATTGCTCAGTGCTAAAAGAAATTCCTTCAACGAATATCTATAACAATATAGAATATGAATATAAAATATATGTATATGTAAAGAATAAAAATTATGCAGTAATTTAACATACGTGCAGTAATACACGTAATATATAATTCAAGGAATGATCAAAATATGAAAATGATAAAAATATGACTGTTATATTCTTTTAGCATGATTGCCTAAAGCAGAATATGAATTTACCTTCCCAAGGTCAGTAAAAATTGCGCCTTTGCAATGCGTTTGTCGCGAATCATGTCATATCGAACCCGTGCTCTCTTTACATTAAGCCCTTCCGTCAATCTTACAATATTTATTTCCTGATCGGTGATCAGACCACTTAGATGATCTGCAAAAGTTAAATTGCACAAATGTATTTTACGCGATAGTGTACAAAAGCTGTAGCAATAATAAGCAATACTTACGAAGGAAATTCCAAATGTTGGGATGAATTCCACCAAATTTGCGTAAAATTGCAAAATGAAAACTTTCCACAAAATTATTTGTTCGTATAGACGTATCAAAGACAGAGACTTTATCTTTTATTGGAAGCCAAGTACGTCTCAAATACATAATAAAATGCAACACAGCGGGATATTCCGCCGACATCATATCAGCTTCTTCTTGGATTATTTGTAATCCTTCCTCGAATGCATCAATCGGAGATAATGGTAAAGCCATAGTGAGACCGAGAACCTTCCTTGGGGCTGTTGTTAATCCTAAGGCTTTCCAACGTCTTAATACAGCCTACACGAAAAATATTGAATATAAATTAGCAAGAGAATTGGAAAAAGTTTCCAAGATTTCGTTTTCGTTAAAAATTCTACCTGATTAAAATGAAACCAGCAGCCGATTATTCGCGATTCCGGAAAAATCTGTTTTGCGATCGTCATTGCCGCGCGTTCATAATCGCTCATGACTAATTCTACTTGTTGTAACGCATTTGGACACAGCTCTTTCACTTTTTGCCAAATTGCGTTATACAAACCCATTGTGCGTTTTTCGCACAATACAAAGAGGACTGCTATACCCTGAAATAAACAGATGTACCAAATGAAATCCCTAATAAAAATAAAATATTTGATAATTCATATTTCACCTGAAATGTGCCAGTTATGAGGATTCATAAATAGTTTATGAAATATTAAAGAAAAATACATTGGAACATTTAAAGTGTGAAATGCTATAAATATACTTGCACATCTCATTTTCGTCAAGAATAACACGCGAACATTTTATTTATGTGTAAAGAAATTGACAGTTGTTATTATATAACAATTTTATTTCACGAAATAAAAATATGGGAAAGTAATTTATGTGTAATCATTCATAAAATACAATTCAAATACAAACATTTACAATTTTTATTTAGAGAGCAGAGGGAATATTAAGTTAGTATCTTCACTTTGAATATTAATTTTTTACGAATACGTTAGAGTTATAAATTTCAGATTAGAGCAGAATACTAGCACTTTGGCTAGTATGTTCTAATTCAATTTTGAATGATAGATCAAGAGAAGTCTTTTTTTTAAATTATTTTTTATTAAATTACTTCTGAATTTTAAATTTTAAGGTATATTTAATAATATATATTTGTATTATTTATATGTAGTTAGTGATTAAATGACGTTAATAAATGTTACTGTAAATTCGTATTTTTAAAAATATGTATACTCTCACTTATAACTTACCGTGTCCATATAGCGTGTGTGAATGGTGTATAATTGCGCAAAGGATGGCACTCTGGGAATTACCTACAAATAAAAATACAATTTTCTTTCAAATTATAATAAAATTTATTATCTTTCTGCCCATCTTTTTTTTTTATACTACACATCATTCATGTTAAATCTCAAATATTACTCACCGAAAACGTACCATCCATATAAATTTCAGTTGCTGTTACTAAGATATTTAGTAGAACGTCACTTGTAAATATAACTGCTTTATAACCCTCATCTGATGTCACCGTGCCCTTAAAGATATGTTGAACTGGTTGATAATTTGATAATATTAAATCAAATTCGGTAATGGTTTGCGGCAATTCCGGCCTTTGACGTAGTTGTTCCCTACTGAGAAGGCTTCTCACAATGGGATAAGATATCTTTGCAGCCGCTACTGAATTTCTGTGAAAATAAAAGCAAATGTTAATCATATTATATACACATGTGCCAAAATTTAATTGTAATATATTGCAAGATTAATATGTTATATAGTTCCTAATATTAATCTATTTCATAAATTTTATTTATTATGTTT